GATGTGTTTGTGTTTATGTGTGTGTGTGTATACATGTTGCTGTATTTCCACATGCGCCAAGGCTGCCAGTCTGATCAAACAATTCCTTTTCATCCAAAATATGATTAAGGCATCATCCATTCAAGTGACTGTAATTTAACTGAATTCTCTTTCACCATCAATTCTCACTATAATTAGTCCCCTGCAGTTTAATGGGGATGTAAATAAAGCTGATTAAATAGCAAAACAAAAGCACAGAGGACCTATATGGAAAGCTATGGTAAGTATGGCTGGATCTGTCATAAAAGCTCTTACACCTCCACAGAAGAAGCATTGCAGCAACATTACCACTTTGAATATGATGGTGTAAAAAAATTAAAGATTTTTAAAAAAGTGCGTGTTCACTTGAGTGTTTCCGCCGCAAACACTGGGCTATTGTAATGAGGAGTCGTAGAACTATGGAAATTAGTTCCAAGTTGAAAACGGTGTGTTCAGTCAGTTTGTGAGCCAGTGAAGCTAATTTCTTAACATTCCCAAACACTGCCAGAAAAATCATCAATCTTCTGAAGCAGCCATCCGTTCAGCGATTGGAAGAAAAAAAAAAAATCAATTCATACTGTGTATGTATGGCTCCTAGACTTCTACAGTGTCCTCATTTACCAAAAGACAGCTATCCTAAATCAAGTTCAAGGTTTATTTCAACACCCTGTATCTTGTCAGAGTCTCCTCCCTACAGAAACCCCAATCCTTAGATCTAAAGTTAAAAAACTGGAGCTTCAATACGCACATAAAGCCAAAGTTGAGCATTACAGTGTTTTGACAGGTTGTGTTCTTAAAGCCGCAGATGCATTTCTTAATTTACCAAACACATCTTTGCCTATGATCACGCTGTTTCTCTTGTTTGATCATATGATGCGGGTTGGCTAATCAAAGTAATTACATGTTTTCTTCCACCTCAAAGAGTTTTCTACACTGAGGGAGCTTTATGGCACATTGAACAATGTGCTCATTAAAATGCCTTCCAATCATCTGTGATTAGACTTTACATGCAATTTCAAAACAATGGATGAAAACATAACAGCAGCAACACTGCATTAGTTATCAGCCTTTTAAGCTACTGTATACCATAACCAATTTTGTGCAGTCATGTGTAACATTTTTCTTGTACATGCAAAATCAGTGTTCCTATAGCTGCCACTCACAACTGAATCGCATTTCATTTCAGTGTGATATTCTTTCAAATGAACAGCAGATAACTTACATAATACGGGGGCTTCATTATATGTGAAGCACAGTTCTGTAATAGTACACATATATGCTGTACTGTCTTGTCATCACAGCTGACAAAAAAAAAAAAAAATACAGTCAAACAACATTTAAGCAACAGACTGCTATCAAAGCTTAACAGGCTAGTGGAGTTTTACAGCTTCACCTGGAACAGGAATCATGTTGTTCTATTAGATCTGAGACTCTCTTAAACTGCCCTGTCAGAGTCCTAATAAAACAAAGCAGCAGCTAAAGTGTTGTTATATTCAGACTGCCCCTCTGGGTATTGATACATTATGAACATGGCTTCTGTACGCATACTTCAGCTGAACAAGGGTAAATAAAAACAGTACCTGCTAAGCGTAACTTAATGATAATCCTGCAGTACACTGAGTAGACAACACATTATGGAGCACTTTCATTTTAATTTTAGAAGACACCAAATCTACAGTAACTTCTGCCAGCAATGCACCGACAATGTAAATTGGTTACACTTTTACTGACTTGTGATGGAGTCCAATACTACGTGCTGTCAAGAGTGGCCTGGTTTGTGCAGAAGCAGTCTTGGCAGTGAGCACTTCTGCTCGCTGCGTTGGCAGGCGGAGAGAGTGCAGAGCCAGGCTTGTGTGTGTCATGTCACATTCAGCTCATCTGTCAATGTAGTGGATTATTTCTTGAGAGACCAGAATTGGCTACCCAGAATCAGGCCGCCATCAATCTTCAACCACACTAGCAGGACGCAGGGGAGGCTGTGTGAAGCAGAGGCTCATGGGAAAGAGAGCGGCGCTGCTTCCTGAGCAGGTGAGGAAGCAGTCAGGCAACTCGTTACTCAATCTCCGCTTCTGCGGTGACTATGCCGATTTGTCACGGAAACATTCGGAAAAAAATAAAATAAATACAATCTTAAAACTTTATCTCAGCAGTTACTTTTTTTTCTCAGCTCACTGTTGCAGAAGGCAAATAAGCTCATTTCTTCAACACTGTTAGATACTTAAACAGGCTGGAGGATTACATCTGCACCTAGCTCAACGTGACCTTCACTTCCCCTATTCAGATAACCATACAATCCCTTGTCAGTGTGTCTTTGTCTATGTGGGATGGTTTGTGAGTTTTGGTACCACACAGTCTGTCAAACAGTCAGCTGGGCCACATGCCAAGATCTACAAAAATGTATTTCAAGACATGGTTTCTTACAAAATACCAACCCCTTATTTCACTTCAGGACTTGGCCAGAGGACAATACAGTAGCAAAGCATGCCACACTGGAAGGTACGGGAAAGCAGCTACACCTATCTTGTCATCAAGCAATTTTAAAGATAATGAATCAATAAAATCAGCAAAGGGATGGGTGTGCGTATCTAAGATAAAACACTATATCTATTAATCTGTTTACCAACACATTTGAACGTTGTATGTCTCATGCTCCATTAAGAAAATCATTTTACAACTTAATTTTCTGTATGGCAGACAGTTTATCACATCTTATCATCATCTTTTAGAAACACCGAAACATTATTTGACTACGGAAAACAGTAAAGCATGAAAGCCAATAGATTTTTCAAGGCAAGACATCTCTTTTTTGTTACGTCCTACATAGCCATATCTATTTATATCTGAGGGTTCTGGCCTCAATGAAACCAGAGAGCTTCTCAAATTATAAAATCAATTCTAATTCAAATATTCATCATAGCATTTCAATTCTAAGAGAGCAGTTCTGGTTAGATCGGTTAACGCCACGGCTGAGTAAGATTGATGTCAGCTTAATCCTCTTAAAAAAACATGATATACAGTAAATTGTACAGTTGCCGAGCAGCAGGAAAAAAACAAAAAACAGACAGACATGTGTGCTCTTCGAGCGCCCAGTTGTGATAGACCATTATCCCTGGGCTGACGAGGATAGTAAAATATCATAAATATCCTCAGATTATGATTGTCAGCACCAATTATGGTTGTCATCCATCACAGTTTGTTTGATTTAAAAGTTTTCTGAAGAGTACTTGTGTTAAAATAACACTGTAACAGATTCCCAGCATCAGTGTGAATGCTGGTGTACAATAAAATATCTCTCCGTTGATCACCTCTAGGTGACTTTACTCAAAATTGAGTGGCTCAGCCTGAATCTGTCTAACAGCCTGAATCCGTCTAACAGTGTGTTTATTATCTATCGCTACAGTGTAAACCTGCATCCTCTCAGACTTGATGTGTCCACAGCTCGGGTGTCCCCAGAGGATGCCTGAAAATCCTACACTATAATGGCCTCAGTGAGAAAATGTGGTATTTGTACGTACATGTCCGGACCCTCCTCATTGTTGAAAGCAGTAAGTGTGTGAGTTGATCTGTCTGACAAGAAACCTTCTTCCAGAGAACTCTCAGCCATATCTATTCTTTGCCTGGATGGCTCTTCTAGATCTACGCTGGGGGTGGTGGTTGAGAGGGATGACTCTTATTTTTTTCCCTTCTTCCCCTTTGGGACCGCTGCATTATTCAAGAGACACTTACTGAGCCTTGCACTTCCTTGTACATCTTTGGCACCAAGCTCGACTTGCCAACCAGCCATAAAGGAAAAAAAAAAAAAAACAGAAAAACTGGAACCCAGCTTTTAAAAATTCATTCAGAACTCTCTGTCGCTCATCCCTCACCCGCTTGTTCCAATTAACGGGACCAGGATACTTTGAGAACTTTCTATCTATCATAGCTGGGATTTTCATGTGTCAGCTGTTCCACAGCAAAAGTAAGCCAATTCTCCGACATGCTGCTTAAAGTCACCAATGTTCAACACAAGCATGGAGAATTCAATGCTGGATTTGTTTTTCCTCTTGCTGTGCTTCAATTACTGTCTCTTTGCTTGGCAATGCAACACACACACACACACACACACACACAGGGAACCAAGCAGAAGATAGCATCAATGTTTAACAGCCGCTTGGCTTCTGGAGAGAGCCCCATTCTGAACGAGGGTTCAGCATGGGAGTCACACTCATTGTTAGAAGCTTAACGAAAGCCTTTGCTTTGCTCTAGAAAACCTTTGCCTTCCCTGTAACACTCCATATACACCATAAGCAATGTTGGTAAGCTTTCCATAATCAGAGAATTAGATCCGCCTCGGCGTCTAACCTCTCCTTTTGCCCCTACGGTGCAGAAGGAGTCGGGCTTAATTGCCTAACGTTTCCAGTGCAAAAAAAGGGAAACATAATTGTCATTTCCATCTAAGCCACACTGATCAAAGCTCTCTTGGCTACCAGCACAGGAATAGGAATTTTTGCCTACAGCTTGTCCTACTCGTAACTGTCTGCCAGCAAGATTCAGGTTGCAGTAGTCAAGAATTCCTTGTCTCCCTATGAGATAACTTCCAGGGTTCGAAGATGGTCTTTGTCTAACAAGGTTTCAATATTCAGATTCAAACTGAATTGTGCAGCTCAACCAAAGAACCAGAGTCTAATAATTTATACAGTCTACATATTTCTTCCATAAACGATACAAAATATATATGGGTTAGATAATATGACTACATATAAGTACATAACATGCAATAGAAGCACAATTAGTAGTCTTCCCCTTTGCTCATCCTGTATAACTGCGAGCACGGTGAATCACCATGTTACAGTACTGTACCGTGGCAAATCATTCTGACATACTGCAGCAGTCTCTTGCTGTTGCTTTTAAACAGCCAAAGCTGAGAATTTCAGCCCCACCGAGACAGCAGCATCTCGCGCTGTAACTCTGTGCTGTGAAATCTAACAAAGAGGTACACGTACCCAGGGTGAGAATGTCAGTGCGACCGGGCCGGGCCACATGGTGCTGCTGGATGGTCTGGTAGAGTGTGGCCTGGCACAGTAGCAGGAAGCCAAGGCTAATCCACATGGCCAACAACCAGGACATGGTAAGGCCGAGTCTGCAGGACAGCACACAGCAGGGGAGAAACAACAGGGAAACAGGGACAGAGTTGCATTAAAATTGTCCATACATATTTACAATACACACATTGTGTTTACTTGAATGTGCCAAACAAAAACAAAAAGAGAACATTACTGGTATATCTTCTGATACTCTGATATCACCTAGAAGTATTTAGACCAATATGTCTACTAGTATGATTTATTCAAAAGGTATGTGTGTGGGTATTTTCTTATAACACTGGGAATAAAAATAGAAAAGAGGAGCTAGAGGCTTCAAGGAAAAATAACCTGCAGACAAGAGACTCAAACAAATGATCAGACACAAAGTTTATCTTGTCAATATCTGTCTTTTCCAAATCTACTGTAGTCTGATAAGGACTTGGACCACACAAAAATTAATAATTAAACATAGAAAAAGGAAAATGCTGCAATCTCTTTGTCAAACGGTCATGATTTTATAATGAGATATGTCATCTCTTTGAAAACACACGCAGTTCCATTAACAACAGCAGCAGCAACACTGAAACCTTGAATATTCCAAAGGTTCATCAAAGACAGCATTTTAAGGCACGAACAGCCTTCTTGCAGATTTGTTCAGCGACTGCCTAATGGCTGGTGAGGGCCAGCATATGGAGACACGCCTTAGTCCTCATTGAATGATGAGGCTCTCCTCCTTTCCAGGTGTTATTTGCACTTCTCTCCATTCAGGACCCTGCAGTGGGAAATTTAAAAGCATCACCCCCACCTCCTCTAAACCAAACTGTGGCTTGGTGTGTTTAGGCTCCCTGCCGACTACATCCTCAGTGAGACTGTTTAAGGCTATTTGGAAAAATGAATAATCTTTGGACTGATCATCAGTTTTGAGAAGAATATATTTCCCCAAAATCATTCACTGTATCACTCAAACATCACAGACTGTTTTTTTTCTCCATTTGTCAATTTTACTGAGGTGCTGACTTTCTGAGGCAATCTGATGCTCTAATGTGACTTCTTTAATGTTCAGATTCTCCCATATTTTAATACACAAGAGAACATAAACATAAAGCAGACTATGAGCCCCAGGGGGTCTCTTGAACATGAACTCCAAACGAGGAAATTTCACATTAAATAAGGAGTCTGTATAGACAGAAACGTTTAATGCATGAAGAAAGTGTCATGAAAAGAGGCCCGATCCAATAAATCCTACGTTGTTTCCAGAAAGCACCAAAGCCACCGCTTGATTGTTTGCTCCAGCTGGACTACTTTCTGTTTTGATGTGCATGTGAGATAAAAAGCCATTAGGCTACTAAATGTTGCCCATGTGTTCTGTACCCGCAGTGACATTGAGACTGCTTAATATTTAAAATTAAGCATATAATTATCAACAGCACATTGTAAATCCCTACCCCTGCACTAAATCCAGCATAATCCGCGGCTTTGTGGAAATGTGAACTGGTCCTACGGGTATGTTTTCCTCTTTCTCCTCTTATTTTAACCACACAGTTCGTCAAGCTGGCTTCATTTTCAGAAGAATCGTTGCGCTTGCATGGTTAACTGCATATTGCATAGAGACTCTAAGCTCCTCCCGGGCCATCGGAAGGCATTCTTGCCGAAAATAAAATGTGGTTCTTACCAGCAGCGTTTTACCAGAGGGGAAGACGCACGGCAGACTTAAAATAAAACGAACAAGCATGGGCATCATTTTAAAGGAACTTCAGAGGGGAAAGAAAGCCGTGTTCAAGAAAACACAGGCAAACTCTTATGATCGCTGTTGTGGTTTCATTTTCTCAGCGCATGAGGTTTTTGTTTTTTATAAATATCCATCTTCTTTTCCGGGCGATATGGAAAGACACATTAAAAGCACTATTCTGAATTTCGTAGTGTCACGTTCAACGAGAGAGGACAGCGTGAGACGCGGTCAAGGAGTAGAAACAGCAGACACACCTGCAGGCGCATAACCTACTGATGCACCTGCGTGCAACGTCGATTTAACAAAATCAGACTCGATTTGTTTCTCGCAGCCTGCACTTCCTCTACTGTGGAGACAACTTCAGTGATGACTCCCAAAAACAAACGTGTCTAGATGTCACACAAAAGGAGTAAACCACTCAAGATGATGAGATGACACATGCTCCTGTCTTATAAATACATCTTAACTAGAATTATATTAAATATCATGCCCTTTCAGTATGTACACTGTCTAGTGATGAATGCAACATATTTTCCACATTTAAACATGTTTGAAGCTTCTATAACATATTGGCCAAAAACAATGTTTGTATGATGATGTGCAGGGTGTTTTTAGTAGAAACTGTTTTCCATGTTTCATTACTTGCACACAGTCACATCATCTTTACTCAACATTTTTCAACAAGCAGTGTTTTGTGGGAAATGTTTCCTAAGACACAGTTGTCCTAGTAGATCAAGCCCGCACCCCACCCATCCCCTCCACAAACACCGGAGGTATTCCTCGAAAGTCCCACACCCTTACCTGAGCAGTGTGTTCAGGAGGAAAGGAGCTCAGAAAAACCGCCTGCCTGCCCAGCAGACTCACGCCTCTGTCTTAAATCCATCCATACTTTGAAGCCAGGGATTCCCGCCTGAAAATTCCAGTACCAGGTATGCCGAACTCCACACAAAAGGAGGTAAAATGCTGTTCTTTCTCCTCCAATTTTCTCACCTCTGGACCCCCGCTGCTCAGTTCCTTTTGAAATCCGTGGCAACACAAACACTCACCAAAAGCAAAACACCCAGGGGTCTAAGTCACAAACTGGCCAGGATTTGAGGGATGGGAGGCTGATCATGTCACTGCTGTATCAGCCACATACGAGCAGATCTCTTGTCCTCCCCTTTCTTCAGTCTGTTTCTCTTCTCCGTCTGTAGAACTCCTATGTTGTGATGACAGGGAGCTAATTTACCCCCCCCTCACTTGTCGTCTCCTTCTCACGCGCTCAGCGGAAGGCTCCAATGGAATGACTGCTCTGTCTGCTCTTGGCTGCGTCCCCCCATTGAGAAGCTGTGCTGATAGTGTGAGCCTCAGTCCTCTCTCCAACGCACTAAGTAGAGAGTCTGTGTCAGAGAGGCAGAGCGAGTGATTGTGAGTGTGAACGTGTGTGTGTGTGTGTGTGTGTGTGTGTGTGTGTGTGTGTATTACAATGTAGCCCAGCTGGAAAGAGAGAGGGGGGGGGGGAGCTGAGAGAGATCACATGTCTTAAAGCAAGACTGCCCACTTCTGCATCAAGACATCATCAGCAAATGAAGCATGCTTTATCTACCCACCCCTCTTTACATCCTAACCTCCCATCCACAACGTCAGGACGCATGCGAGTATAGCCTTCGGCTCACTTTGAATGTGTCTGAGTGTACCCATGTACATGTGTATGTGCGTGAGTTGGAGAGGGTGTGGAGGGAGGATGACTGCCTATGCCTGTTTTAGTCATCCCCCTCCAGCATTTGAGGGGTGAGAGTGAAATATGCTCAGAGCACAGCACTTTTAATACAAGGCAGAGTGGATCATCAGGGCTCTGCAATCACCATATTATCTATTATGAGCTGACTGTGCTCTTCCTACCTGTTTTTGTGGTGATGAGTGGGGATTAGTTTTTACAGTCTAACCCTTTTGAATGTTTCCCAACACGGAAACAAACTTGCATCTGTGGCAGCAGCCGGGAAGAGCCTGTGAGCATCCTTCCGTCACTCACAAAGTGAATCTGCTGGCTCCGAAAAGGAAAGACATCCACTGTCCTTGTATGTGTGTGGGTGTGTGCATGTGTGTGTGTCCACTGTGCCTGAGCCATGCAGGGAGGTGAAAGCAACCCTTCTTGTTTGTGTGGAGTATGTTTTCCTCCAACACATTTCCTTCTATATGGAGGAGCGCCCCTTTAAATTATACTGTTAACCAGAGATTTACAGTATATGCCAATCCCACACACCTGCCATGGCTGACTCACTCACAGTCTGACATTTCGCAGAAAATGAACCCTATGATACTCACAACAATACACAGCTGAGGGGCTAAATAGGCTGACACACACTGAGGATAGGTTTGTTACTGTGGGGGAGTACAGACAGATGAACTTGATGATGAATATCCGGATAAACTTTGTCTGAGAGCTGTAGCTGTGGCCTGTTATTTTTGTTGTTGTTGTTGGGTTTATTGCATGCTATGATTTGTGTGCTTACAGTCCATCCTTGTGTGTCTCAGAGAGCTATGATGCAAAATCATCAGCTTCCTGATTGGCTGTTTTTATCTAGTTACCTAGTAGGTGGAATTTTCCAGATGTTTAACAAGTCGTTCAATTGCTGGTCACAGTGTAATCCCACAGAGCATCCTGGGCCATCTCTGCTGCTGCTATCACCTCTGCTTGTTCTTTACACAGCAAAGTGTGATTTGACAGCCAGATGCAGACAGCCTTATAGACTTACAATCTGCAGGGCAGAGATGGGCTGAATGTACAAAAACTGTGCAACAAAATGGTGGCAGATATGTGTGTATGTGGGGGGGATTTATTATTCCCTCTGTTGGATTCCTGGAAGGGTGATGTGAGTACCTGAGTAGGTATATTGTAGCTGACAGAGACTTACTCTTATGGCTGAAAACTAGGCAAAAAACCAAGAGTGGTGGGGTAGTTGTTCTGGATGTGTTTTTGCCTTTGGACTGTGTCCTTTCTATTGACATACCTCTGTAATAATACAGTGGGAATGCAGTTATGAATAGTGAAGCTGCCATCTGGATCTCTGTTGGGTAAAGCACACCACATGTTAAGTGATCAGATTCACATTAAGCAGGAACTGCAGAGTAATTACCACATTGATTAGTGTTTCCACACTGTCATGCTATATTTGCACAAAATGGCTTGATTACCAAAAAACAGGCTTATTTGTATTTGTGCTTAGTTGTTGATATTTCCTTTTGTAAGGAGCATTAATAGCATGCACGCTTGAATTTCATTTTTTCTTCAGAGCTTAATGTTTTTATGATCTGTCCCATTGGACTGAGATGAAGGCGTGATATGAAACAGGTTCACAAACAAGCCTCAGAGGAGAACTTAAGATTGAAGGAATCCAATTACTACATGTTTCTTTCAGCAATGTGCAGGACCAACACAAGTCTCCCGTTTGTATCGTAATTTGTTTCCTTTTGTTGATTTGTTGCAGTCTCCTATTTTCATTCTGCGTCAGTCTGAGCTGTGTTGGGAGAATGCACTGGGACAACAGAATTTCACAGTAATTCTGGATTGTTGTTGTGGTCCTGCTCTTCCCTGTTTCCTTTCTCTGGGGCTTCGATCATTTCCAAACAGCTGTCGCTGTAGCCAGTGCCAAGACCTAACCACAACCGACCAATCACTGGCCAACTCTGTGTTTGGATCTGGGCAGCCCTGTTAAACAGCAGCGTTTGCCAATATCGCTCTCTCACTCTCTGTCTTCTTTTCTCATTCTGTCGCTCTTTTCTTTCTGTTTCTCCCTCTGGCTAATAAAATTATTCCTTCCAGTCCAGCCAACAAGCTTCAATATGAACTCGCTAGTAGTACCAACCCCCCCCCCCCTTTTTAAAAATGTCCATGTCCACTATTATTCCCAAATACATCTCAACATTTCTCACTGGAGCAAACCAAGCATTTCTTCATCTGATGAGTTGTTATGTTAGTAAACCTACTCTCCATAGACACTCACTCCATAAAACATTCTATCAGAGAGAAAGGTAAAATGACACAAGGAGGCAGAGACAGAAGGAGAGAAAGAAAATAGCAAGAAAGCAGGAAAGATTAAGGCAGGGAGCGAAAATTCATTTGGAAGAAGTATGCAGCGGCAACTCTTGCTCAGTGGTGGATGGTGAAGGGAAGAAGATGATTAATAAAATGAAGGAGCCTGATATGTAGAAATAATTTATTTATTAGTTCATTTCTGATGGAACCTGGCTCTGAGGATATTGTCAATTTTTAACAGTGATGTTTTAAGTGTAAAAGAAAAAGGCTGGTGGATCTACAGTTCTCCACACATAAACCTCTCAGGCCTTCAGCTCTTCTATTCTGTCAGCAGATCCTATGAGAATGAACCCCAACATGTCTGTGTAAACTCTAAAAGGACGTGACACAAAAGCATGTTGTTTATGAAGCAAGTCACAGCCGTGAACAAATATTTTTGCTGTCACGTATCTAATTTCTTTCTCATTTTTATCAGGAGGCAAATTTATGCCACTTAGTCAACTTCACAGCACACTTATTGGACTATTTTTAATTCACTGGTAGTGTGACATTATAACATTATATTCTGTCTTAGGGAAGAGGTTGGGTTAGATGATTTGGTATACTGTGTGTGACTTTGTGGTAAATTGCAGTTTGCATAACATCTCCTGACCCACTCATTTGTCAATACAGAAGCCTCTTATCATCCCATTAGTGCAGGGCATATACAGACAGGTGACAAATGAAATGAAAAACCAGTAAGGTGTTGGGCCACCATGTGCCGCCTGAACAGCTTCAGTGCGCCTTGCCATTGATTCCATTACATAACTTCTTTGACATAATACCTGTGGTACATAGGATTGTGATATGGTCGTGTTAGCTGGTGTAGTCATGTAGAAAGCTATAGTATTTTGCACCCGATAATATTAGCAACTGGTTGGCGTTAGCTGGCGGGCTAACAATTAGCCTTTCTTCTGTTCACTTTTCACCCTTCATCATCTCATTCTCGTTTGGCCTGATGGGCCCACAACTTTGTTGTTGTTGTAATCCTTACGTGGGGTTTATGTTGGAGTCTGTGTTGTGCTGGGAGCCGGTTGTTTTATGGTGTTAGTGGACTGCATTCCGTTAGCTGCTGTGTTGTCCCTGTAGTTGGAGAGAGGCTCGGGAGCACACATGCACATGCTACATCCCAACCTGATACAGTCACATAACAAGTAGAATAGTGGCTGTTGCAAGCAACAGAGAAAACAGGCTTGTGGATCAATTTTAAGTGAGGTTAGAGTCCAGAAAAAAAGGAAGTAAAAAAATGATTTATTAAGTGATTTCAGTGATAACTACATATAGCCCCTTTAGTTTTAGAGTTCTGCTTTTAAAGCTAATCACAGTATTTTGAGACACTGCTCTTAAGTGATGCATTCTCTGTCTCTCTAAAGGGCACTTGAATGTTCTATATCCTTAAGGTACACTGAATTAAGGAGTTCCTCTTGGTTCTGACCTAGGTCCCCTACAATTTTGAATTTACTACTTGGTCAAATAACCCATAGCCAAATGTCTATGAAAATTCTCAGTCATCCAGGTCATAGTTATCCAACGAAGGTTAAAGTCAAGGGCAACTGGACTTGGTTGAAGTTACTGGAAGACGTTTCGTCTCTCATCCAAAGGACTTCTTCAGTTCTGACTGACTGGCAGGGAAACTCAGCTATTTAACCTCAGTCGTTTGCCAGGATCGTCGATACTGCTGGTTCATTAGTGTTCCTGGTTGCTGTAACGACAGTCATTACAGTCGTTAGGACTACCCGAGGCCAAGACTGAACGACCATCGTTGGTATCTTCACCTGAGGCCAATAGGTTACGTTTGTTGAGTTTCCTCAACATTTTTGAGTTTCCTCAACATTTTTGAAGTGGAATGTCCTTCCACTTCAAAAATGTCCACATGCAAATGTGTTTGTTTATGAAACTGGATCATTTTAAATGGTGGATATCTAATATCTTCCTTAAACTAAAAAAACAACCAACACAAGATCCACACAGAAATACAAAAACAGTAATAATAATAATAATAATAATAATTGTAACAGCAGGTCAAGCAGGAACATGGGGACAGCAGGAAGCCCGCAACCACAGATCCAGACTCTACAGCTACGGAGCCGGAAATACCTACAGAAAGCAGTAGAGGGAGATAGGGAAAGGGAAGAAGTCGAGTTATTAACATGTATTAATGCAACACGTTCTCACTTCCAAGTCGTCACATATGGACACATGGGAAAAGTCCTGTAGTGTCACTTTTGATATTTAACTGAGAATTCCAAGAAAGGAGGTGATTTGGACGGACTGCGGGCCAGAAGCCGGACTTTCGATGTGTTTGTTCTCC